TCTCTCTCTCTCTCTCTCTGTCTCTCTCTCTGTCTCATTGTGTCATATGGATTACTGTTAATTTATTATGCTGATCTGTTCTGTACGACATCTATTGCACGTCTGTCCGTCCTGGAAGAGGGATCCCTCCTCAGTTGCTCTTCCTGAGGTTTCTACCGTTTTTTCCCCGTTAAAGGGTTTTTTTTGGGGAGTTTTTCCTGATCAGCTGTGAGGGTCTTAAGGACAGAGGGATGTCGTATGCTGTAAAGCCCTGTGAGGCAAATTGTGATTTGTGATATTGGGCTTTATAAATAAAAAAGAATCGAATTGAATGTGGCCTTGGGGTCCGCAGGTCACGACCTCTGATCTGTTCCGTAAATAAGATCAGTCTCAGCTCAGTGAAGCTGACGCCAACACGTCAGCTCAGAGATAGTTCAAAGTTCCTCTTTTATAAAAAGTACAAACAGTTTTCTGTTGATTTCTTTATTTCCTGTTTCCTGCAGAGACGTTGAGCGGCCACAGACTGACTCAGTCACAGGTGTGTGTCAACAGGTACAGGTGTTAAATACTGTCCGTGCTGCGTTCAGTGACTCAGACTGAACCTTCGTCAGCTTGTTTTGTTCTGAAAATATTAATTTAACTTCAGTCACTGATGAACACATGAACACATGAATCGGACTGTGATTTCTGGACTTTTAACACTTCTCCTTTTACACCTTTGTCTCCTTCTTCTTCTTCTGTTTTCTAACAGGAACTGTAACATCTGTGTGATGTAGTACTTCCTGACGCTTGGTGTGAACACATGATGGTGAAACAGGTGATGGTGGCATGAACACAGTCAGCACGATTTTTTCACTGAATCCATCTTCTGTTATTGGATATAAATCTCAAACAGCTTCACTGACATCATGTAAAATTCTGATGGAACAAAAATCAGACAAGTTTACACCTTTCAGATTATTGTAGTTGTTGTTGTCTTTTGAAGGTCACCAGGGGCCTGTATCACGAAGCAAGATCAACCTTTCCTGGGTTACCCAGACCTATCCTGGGTTGACTAACCCTAACAATGGCAATCAGGATAATCGGTATCACGACGCTGGATATCAACTCGGTAACTCAACCCAGGGTTGCTTTATCAAGAGCCGTGAACGCGCACGCAGCGGACCAATCACAATCATGAGAGAAGCGCAGCGTCACTGAGCGTCCTCACAGAGCGCCGTATGTGAGGGGAAAAAAGTATTTCTCATGTGAGGATCAGAGATTAATTCTACTAAAATATGAGGAGGAGAAAAGCAACATTAGAGAAAAGGCCAACACCGTGGCAGCTGCAGGAGGAGGAAACATGCGTGGCAACACATAACGGGATGAATAATGATTAGTTTTAGTTTAGATTAGTTTATTTGCACATAATGTTAAAAACAGACAGTATAACATTTACAAGATTAAACAAAGAAAAGTGCCGGAGAGGTTAGAAGCCACTAAAAGCTTATCAAAGAAATTCCCCTGTCAAAACATCAATGAAATCACATAATAGAGAAGAAAAAGAAACGGGTGAGGAAAGAAGAAATAGAGGAGGAGAGAGGGAAAAATCAAGACAAAACAAGGCAGCAAATAAAATGATGTGTAGGTTAAATGACTCATCACTGGTTCAAGTAGCTACAGTACCTGTACCTGTACATCTCACAGCTTTGTGAGACCGAAAACCCAGGGTTAACCCTGAAGTTACCTCGCTAAGACATCAATCCTGCTTTGTGATACAGGCCCCAGCTGTTCAGAGTTGTGATTTAAGAACCACAAAACACCACAAGTTTTCTCCTTAAGTATGACTCTTAATTTCTCTTAATTTCTCCTTAGCTGAGGGACTGATTTAAGGATGTTGGACAGATTCCCTTAAAAGGTTTCCTTAGTTAAGGGTAATCATTAAGGCCTTTACAGCACTGAGATGTTACAGCGTTAAAGTGAGTTTATGAGCTGGATTTATTTGGTTGCTGGAGGAAACTAAGAGTGTAAATCACAAGTTTCATCACGATACGATGTCGCGGTGATTCTTTGGACGACAGGATATTTAACAATATTACAAAGTAACGGTAACGTTAACATTACGTTGTGCTTTATTTTGTTAACAGCACATTGTTTAAACACACCGTGTGTTCTGTCTGTTGAAATCCAGAATATCTCCACGCTGCTGATTTATCCAGAGTAAATAACGTTCTCTCGTCGTCTTCCTCTCGGCTGCTGCTGTTTCACACTAACGCAGAATTTCAAAATAAAAGTGTATCCTGAAGATGATGATATAGATCAATGTTTTGACTTTGCATCGATGACAATCGATCACTGATCACTGAATCAGTATATTGATCCAGATTGATGGATCGTTACAGCCCGTAGAGGAAACTGCAACTAGAAGTAATTCAGTCAAATCTAAAGATTAAAATCAGAAGTGTATCACAGAAACACTTCTCCTCTCAGGGTGTGTTAAGGGTTTTTATTTATCACCATAAACTCAGTCAGAGGGACCTTAATGCTGAGGTCTTTCGTGCAACAGTTGAGGGATTCCTTAAATATAAGACAGAGACAAGGAGAAACCCTTATATACTTAAGTGATTATTTTAAGAAAACCTTAAGGGAAAGACTTTAAGGTTGTTTTTTGCAAACAATTTTATTTTAAGGAAACTTTAACTCAGAAAATCTTAACTTAAGGTGTTTTGTGCAGCCAGTCCCTGAAACATGTGACAGCTTTCTGTTCCCTCTGACGTATTAATGATGTGTTTGTGTCAACAGCTCATCTGCACGCCTTGGAGGTCAAAGGTCAGAGGTGAGCATGTTTTATTTCTCATGATCTCATATTTTTATATAAACATCTTTTATTTTGAAAGGATATCGTTGATGCACTGACTGTGACATTCTGAGCCGACAGTCGATACTCATGTTTTTCTGTTATTTAGTTTTTGTTATTTATTCCCCAATTTGTTCCGATGAAACAACAAACTCTACAAGAAAAAAATGTCTGACCTGAACGACCTCTGACTGAGCTCAGATTCAATCAGACACATTTATTTAACAATATAAATTTAAAACTGTCTTTACCAGGAAATAAAAAATTATATTTCACTGTGAAAACATCACAAAACCTTTCATCTTCAAACAGATGAATTCAGTCAAATTTATCACCAGAAACTGTATTTTACAAGATGACGCTGAATGCATCGCAAGAACAACAATCACACAGCTAAAGTTAACTAGCTGCTAAGAACTATCAACTAACTTTAACTAGCTGCTAACAACAAACACTTAATTTTAACTAGCCTTCTAACAGCTAACTTTAACTAGTTGCTAGCAGCTAATGGTTAATTTTAACTAGCTGATAACAACTAACAGCTAACTAGTTAAAGTTGTGAACACCTGAACACGAACACGTGCTGTAATGACAGAGAAGGAAACTGTTTAATTCAGACACATTTTATTTCTTCTTCATTTACAGAAAGAAAAGTGTCGAGAGGAAAAACTGAACCAAACAAAGTCTTGATGAACAGGTGATTTATACTGTCGAGTTTAAAGCTGGTTCTGAAACATCCTGACACAAAGTTCTGATGATGACATCATCACTTGGAAATCAGAAATAAGTTGTATCCAGGGGGTGGAGCCACAGGAACGCCAAAATCTACACAAATCAAACTTCCTGTCAGCTGCTTTAATACTGGTTTCTTTTTACACACTGGTTTCTGGTGTTACAGACTGGTGGTGTTGGTGGCGTCCACCTTCAGGTCTTTGGCGACCAGTCCGGAGGTGACCGGGTGCATCGCTGCTCTGTTGGCCAGAAACACTTGAATGGCTTCATCACGATACTTCTCGAAGTTAAAGACCTCCCTGACGAGAAAATACAGATACACAGAGTACAAACATGTTACGTAGAGTATCATTACGTCATGTGGAATATCATTACATTACGTAGAGAATCAATACGTTACGTAGAGAATCAATACGTTACGTAGAGAATCATTACGTTACGTAGAGAATCATTTCGTTACGTAGAGAATCAATACGTTACGTAGAGAATCAATACGTTACGTAGAGAATCATTACATTATGTAGAGAATCATTTCGTTACATAGAGTATACGTAGTATAAATACCTGAAGAGCGGTCTTGTGAACTTCATCCTGCCCTGCTCTGTCGCCATCTTCATTGCCATGGGAACAGCTTCCTCCCATTTGGATCGAACACACAACCTTAGCCACCTGGAGGGAGAACAGCCAATCATCAGGAAGCTTCCAGACTGGAGGCGGGGTTTCATATGACAGACCTGATGTTTTACCTGAAGCGGATCTCAGAGTTCATGCAGGTGTTGAGATCGTAAACCTCCTGCATCTTCTTCACGTGAGTCAGAGGAAGAGGATCCTGAGGGGAGTGAAAAAGAAGTAGAAGATGAAGTGAAGTGGACCTTCAGCAACTGAAGTGGACCGTGGCGAGTTAAAGAGGTTTACCTCCTGAAGCAGGAGGGACAGGAACTCGATGAGCTGGTGGGACGACAGCGTCTTCAAATCCGACTCCTTAAAGCTGCTCAGATCCTGGTCTTTGGCCTGAAGGGGGACAGAGGACGGAGATTTGACTCTGAAGATAAGAGAACAATTACCACAGGTCCATGTGAGGTCCAGGTCTTACCTTGATCCACTTCTGGCTCAGAGAGATGCAGGCGTCGGCCAGCGTGGTGTCGTACCTGAAACATGAATCAGACAACCTCAGTCCAGGTTTACAGACAGACCAGAGGACCTGATGCAGGTCTGAGACTGGAGGACCTGATGCAGGTCTGAGACTGGAGGACCTGATGCAGGTCTGAGAGGATCCACTCACTGAGGTTTGACTGGAGGCATCCCAGGAGTGAACATCCATGCGTTCCAGTCCACCTTGTTCAAGATGTCCACCTGAGAGACAAAGACACAGCTCAGACCTTCGGACCCTGAATCTGGACGTGAGATGTTGTGGTTCACCTGCGGAGCCTCCAGGTGTGTCTCACCTTGTCTTTGAAGTAGGTGTACAGGTAGTTCTTCCACTCTTCCGTGGTGACGCTGCTGTAGGCAAACAGCTGGATGTACGACTTCACGAATCCCATGAACACCTCTGAAACAGACCGACAGGTGAGGACAGACATTCAGGACTGGATTCTCTGTGGTGTGTCCAGATGTGTGCATGTGTTACCTGGCCCTCCCATCAGCTCCTCCAGGTGGTACAGCAGAGCAAAGCCTTTCTCGTAGGGCACAGAGGAGAAGGCGTCGTCGGGGTCGACGTCCTGCAGGCTGGGAACCAGGTTGGTCAGAGGGTTGTTGGCTCCAAAAGTGTTCACCTGAGTGACAACATGGACAGGTAAGAAACATACATACTGCTTTCATCACCAGAATCAGTCCGCACAGGGTTCAGGTCCAGGTCCTCACCGAGTCCTGCAGGTCCTTCCAGCCCCCCATGGCTTTAAACTGTCTGAACTGTTCACTGTCCATACACCTGCCGATCATCCTCTCCAGGTACACCGTGTGACCTTCGTTCAGCCTGGAAAGGACAAACAGCTACAGTCAGCATGCTAACTATCACTGATCAACTTCAAATTCCTCAGAGACAAGCTTCCATCTTGAAGAGAATGATAATGATAACATACATTTTTTTCCCCCGTCATTCCTGCACTCAGTTTCTGTTTTAATTTCCCTTCTTTGAATCAGAATCAGAATCAGAAAACCTTTCTGATTCTGATTCTGATTCAAAGAAGGGAAATTAAAACAGAAACTGAGTGCAGGAATGACGGGCAAAAGAATTACCTGACAAAACCAGTATAGTATAGCATGTCGTCCAACATCATGAAAAAACGACATAGTATAGCATGTCGTCAAAAACCTAGAAAAAAATGTCATAGTATATAGCATGTTGTCCAAAATCATGAAAAACTTCCTAATTTTCGTTTTTAAATGATAATAAAGATATTCAAAGACATTTAGTTTTTATTTGTTCGTTTTTAATAAATCCAACAAGCAAGTTATAAAGTGTGCATTAATAAGGAAATGAACGAAAAGATGAACAGACATCCACACACCGAACTGAAGCGCTGCCTCCGCGGGCACTCCGCTCTGCTCAGCGGCCTGTGTGGACAGTCAGATAGGTTAACATGGGCGCTGACTGAAAACCGCCTCCGCTGCTGGACACCGTGCTTCGGTTCCGCGTCCGGTGTGTCCAGGGCGTTATGTCAACAACGCTACATGAAGCAGATTAATGACTTTTTCTCTGCAGTACCTACTATGCAGTCCGCCGCCAAGTGGGCAGGGGTGGTAATTGCAACCGGACAAAATGAACAACGGCCTTCAGATTTTCCGGTCACTGTTGCAAAAAACTGGTCAATGACCGAGAATATCCGGTTAACGCGACCCCTGAGTATAATATATCGTCAAAAATCATGAGAAAACAACGGTATAGCATGTCGTCCAAAATCATGAAAAAACGGCATAGTATAGCATGTCATCAAAAATCTATTAAAAGAACATCATAGTATAACATGGCGTCCAAAACCATGAAAAAACTTCGTAGTATAGCATGTCGTCCAAAATCATGAAAAACATCATAGTATAGTATGTCATCAAAAAACGTCATAGTATACCATGTTGTCCAAAATCATTAAAAAAGTCATAGTATAGCATATCATCAAAAATCTATTAAAAAATGTCATAGTATAGCATGTCATCAAAAATCTATAAAAAAGCGTCATAGTATAGCATGTCGTCCAAAATCATGAAAAAACGTCATAGTTTAGCATGTTGTCCAAAATCATGAAAAAACGACATAGTATAGTATGTTGTCAAAAATCTATAAAAAAGCGTCATAGTATAGCATGGCGACCAAAATCATGAAAAAACGTCATAGTATAACATGTCGTCAAAAATCTATAAAAAAGCGTCATAGTATAGCATGCAATCCAAAATCATGAAAAAACGTCATAGTATAACATGTCGTCCGCAATCATGAAAAAACGTCATAGTATAGCATGTCGTCAAAAATCATGAAAAAAAGTGATAGTATAGTACGTTGTCCAAAACCATGAAAAAATCTCATAGTATAGCATGTCGTCCGCAATCATGAAAAAACGTCATAGTATAGTATGTTGTCAAAAATCTATAAAAAAGCGTCATAGTATAGTATGTAATCCAAAATCATGAAAAAACAACATAGTATAGTATGTTGTCAAAAATCTATAAAAAAGCGTCATAGTATAGCATGTAATCCAAAATCATGAAAAAACGTCATAGTATAGCATGTCATCAAAAATCTATAAAAAAGCGTCATAGTATAGCATGTCGTCCAAAATCAAGAAAAAAGTCATAGTATAGCATGTCGTCCAAAACCATGAAAAAACATCATAGTATAGCATGTCGTCCAAAATCAAGAAAAAAGTCATAGTATAGCATGTCGTCCAAAACCATGAAAAAACATCATAGTATAGCATGTCGTCCAAAATCAAGAAAAAAGTCATAGTATAGCATGTCGTCCAAAATCATGAAAAAACGTCATAGTATAGCATATCGCCAAAAATCTATAAAAAAAAACGTCATAGTATAGCATGTTGTCCAAAATCATGTAAAAACGTTGTAGTATAGCATGTCTTCAAAAATCTATAAAAAAGCGTCATAGTATAGCATGTCGCCCAAAATCATGAAAAAACATCATAGTATAGCATGTCTCCAAAAATCTATAAAAAAAAGTCATAGTATAGCATGTCGTCAAAAATCATGAAAAAAAGTCATAATATAGCATGACGTCCAAAATCATTAAAGAACGTCACAGTATGGTATGTCGTCAAAAATCTATAAAAAAGCGTCATGGTATGTCGGCCAAAATCATGAAACAACGTCACAGTATAGTATGTCATCCGAAATCATGAAAAAAACGTCATAGTATAACATGTCGTCAAAAATCTATAAAAAAAAAGTCATAGTATAACATGTTGTCAAAAATCTATTAAAAAAAATGTCATAGTATAGCATGTCGTCCAAAATCATGAAATAAAGTCATAGTATAACATGTCATCAAAAATCATGAAAAAAATGTCATAGTATAGCATGGTGTCCAAAATCATGAAAAAACATCTTGGTATAGCATGTTGTCCAAAATCATCAAAAAAGTCATAGTATAGCATGTCGTCCAAAATCATGAAAAAACGACATAGTACAGTATGTCGTCCAAAATGATGGAAAAACGACATAGTATAGTATATCATCCAAAACCATGAAAAAACGTCATAGTATAGCATGTCGTCCAAAATCATGAAAAAACGTCATAGTGTAGCATGTCGTCGAAAATCATGTAAAAAAGTCATAGTATAGCATGTCATCAAAAATCATGAAAAAAGTCATAGTATAGCATGTCGTCCAAAATCATGAAAAAAGTGATAGTATAGTATGTTGTCCCAAACCATGAAAAAATGTCATAGTATCGCATGTCATCCGAAATCATGAAAAAACGTCATAGTATAGCATGTCGTCCAAAATCATGTAAAAACGTTATAGTATAGCATGTCTTCAAAAATCTATAAAAAAAAAGGTTATAGTATAGCATGTCGTCCGAAATCATGAAAAAACGTCACAGTATAGCATGTCGTCCAAAATCATGTATAAACGTCATAGTATAGCATGTCTTCAAAAATCTATAAAAAAAAATCTCATAGTATAGCATGTCGTCCAAAATCATGAAAAAAAGTCATAATATAGCATGTCGTCCAAAATCATGAAAAAACATCATAGTTTAGCATGACGTCCAAAATCATGAAACGACGTCACAGTATAGCATGTCGTCCAAAATCATGAAAAAAGTGATAGTATAGTATGTCGTCCAAAACCATGAAAAAACGTCATCGTATAGCATGTCGTCAAAAATCTATAAAAAAAGTCATAGTATAGCATGTCGTCAAATATCTATAAAAAAAGAAGCATCATAGTATAACATGTCATCAATAATCATGAAAAAAAATGTCATAGTATAGTATGGTGTCCGAAATCATCAAAAAAAAGTCATACTATAGCATGTCGTCCACAATCATCAAAAAATGTCATAGTATAGCATGCCGTCCAAAATCATGAAAAATGTTATAGTACAGTATCTCGTCCAAAATCATGAAAAAACGACATAGCATAGCATGTCGTCCAAAACCATGAAAAAATGTCATAGTACAGTATGTCATCCAAAAGCATGAAAAATGTTATAATACAGTATCTCGTCCAAAATCATGAAAAAACGACATAGTATAGCATGTCATCCAAAATCATGAAAAAACGTCATAGTACAGTATCTCGTCCAAAACCTTGAAAAAACGTCATTGTACAGTATCTCGTCCAAAACCATGAAAAGAACGACATAGTATAGCTTGTCGCCCAAAATCATGAAAAGAACGACATAGTATAGCATGTCGTCCAAAATCATCAAAAAACATCATAGTATAGCATGTCGTCCAAAATCATGAAAAAAAGCGATAGTATAGTATGTCGTCCAAAACCATGAAACAACGACATAGTATAGCATGTCGTCCACAATCATGAAACAACGACATAGTATAGTATGTCGTCCAAAACCATGAAACGACATAGTATAGCATGTCGTCAAATAAATAAATGGTGTTTATTTGTTTGTTTACCAGAAGTGCTCCCAGGTCTTGTTGGTCACCAGGTTGCCAGTCCAGCTGTGGGAGATCTCATGAGCAATCACCTGACAGGAAGAACCACAGGTGAACACATGAAGGTGAACACATGAAGGTGAACATGTGAAGAGACAGAAGTATTTTACTCACGTTGGACAGAGACTTGTCTCCTGCCTGTAAAGAAATAGATACACAGTAATCAGCTGATCATCAGTCACATGATGCAGTGACTCAGGTCAGGTGACACGTGAAGACGTCTAATGATCATCATTAATTATGTCTGTATGGTCATACCAGCAGGGTGAGTGTTCTCTGTATGACTGTAGATATGTTTTTGAGTGTATATAAATGTGTTGTCATGTGTTTATACCAGCAGGGTCGGGGTGGCGAAGGTCAGACAGGGATTCTCCATGCCTCCATAGGGGAACGACGGAGGAAGAACCAGGATGTCATACTGACCCCAGACGTATGGCCCTGCCAGGTCTTCAGCTGTCTTCAACATGGTCTCTGTCTGACAGACACAGCAACATGAGTCAATTAATGATGACCTGACTGTGTATGAATGAATGAATGAATATATGTATGTTTTTGTAGCTTTTAACAACATACTATGGCGTTTCGGTCATGACAGTGTGTGCTATACCCACAGACCTTTCTGTATGTCATCTCCTGAAGGTTTTATAGAAAAACTCCTCCATCATCACCTGTAGGCTGCCTATTAAAAACTTTTTCAAGCTCCACCCACAGTCTCTCTTTCAACTACTGCATCAAGTATGGGCAGTGTTGTTATCATGTACCAGTTGATGTTATATTGTTTACTTTTAATTTATTGTATATGCAATAACATTTGTTTTGCACAATATACTTGTTTCCTTGACCCCTGTGTTACTTCCCCTGAGCCACAGTCATAACACATATAATTTCATCTGACATTCTTTCCCACATGCTATACTATGATGTTTTTACATGATTTATGACGACATGCTATACTATGATGTTTTTACATGATTTATGACGACATGATATACTATGGCATTTTTTCATCATTTTGGACGACATACTATACTATCACTTTTTTTCATGATTTTGGATGACATGCTATGCTACAACGTTTTTTCTAGATTTTTGATGACATGCTATACTATGACATTTGTCATGATTTTGGACGACATGCTATACTATGACTTTTTTCATGATTTCGGACGACATACTATACTATGTCGGGTTTTTTTTCATGATTTTGGACGCCATGTTATACTATGACTTTTTTCATGATTTTGGATGACGTGCTATACTATGTTGTTTTTTCATGAATTTGGACGACATCCTATGTTATGTCTTTTTTTCATGGTTTTGGGCGACATGCTATACTATGACTTTTTTCATTATTTTGGATGACATACTATATGATGACGTTTTTTCATGGTTTTGGACGACATACTATACTATGATGTTTTTTCAAGATTTTGCACGACATGCTATACTATGACGTTTTTTCTAGATTCTGGACGACATGCTATACTATCACTTTTTTTCATGATTTTGGACCACATGCTATACTACGACGTTTTTTCTAGATTTTTGACGACATGCTATACTATGACTTTTATTCATGGTTTTGGACGACATGTTATACTATGACGTTTTTGTCATAATTTTGCACGACATGCTATACTATGACGTTTGTTCTAGATTCTGGACGACCTGCTATACTATGACGTTTTTTCATGATTTTGGAAGACATGCTATACTACAACGTTTTTTCTAGATTTTTGACGACATGCTATACTATGACTTTTATTATGGTTTTGGATGACATATTATACTATGACATTTTTCATGATTTTGGACGACATGCTATACTATGACATTTTTCATGATTTTGTACCACATGCTATACTATGACATTCTTTGATGATTTCGGACGACATGCTATACTATGACGTTTTTTCATGATTTTGGACGACATGCTATTCTATGTCTTTTTCTATGATTTTGGACCACATGCTATACTATGACATTTTTCATGATTTTGGACCACATGCTATACCATGACTTTTTTTCATGATTTCAGACGACATGCTATACTACGACGTTTTTTCTAGATTTTTAACGACATGCTATAGTATGACTTTTATTCATGGTTTTGGAGAACATGTTATGACTTTTTTCATGATTTTGGACGACATGCTATACTATGTCCTTTTTTTCATGCTTTTGGACGACATACTATACTATGACGTTTTTTCATGATTTTGGACGACACTCTATACGATGACATTTTTTCTGCATTTTGACGTCATGCTATACTATGAGGTTTTTACATGATATTGGACGACACGCTATACTATGACATTTTTTTCATGATTTTGGACGACACGCTATACTATGACTTTTTTTCATGGTTTTGGATGACATGCTATACTATGACAGTTTTTCTTGATTTTGGACGACAGTTTGGACGACATGCTATACTATGACATTTTTTCATGAATTTGGACGACACGCTACACTATGACATTTTTTCCATGATTTTGAACGACACGCTTTAGTATGACTTTTTTTTATTGATTTTGGACAACATGCTATATCATGACATTTTTCATGATTTTGGACGTCATGCTATACTATGACATTCTTTCATGATTTTGGACGACATGCTATACTATGACATTCTTTCATGATTTCGGACGACATGCTATACTATGACGTTTTTTCATGATTTTGGACGACATGCTATACTATGACTTTTTTTAATGATTTTGGACGACATTTTGGACGACATGCTATACTATGACATTTTTTCATGAATTTGGACGACACGCTACACTATGACATTTTTTTCATGATTTTGGACAACATGCTACACTATGACTTTTTTCATGATTTTGGACGACACGCTTTAGTATGACGTTTTTTTATTGATTTTGGACAACATGCTATATCATGACATTTTTCATGATTTTGGACCACATGCTATACTATGACATTCTTTCATGATTTTGGACCACATACTATACTATGACATTCTTTCATGATTTCGGACGACATGCTATACTATGACGTTTTTTCATGATTTTGGACAACGTGCTATACTATGACATTTTTCATGATTTTGGACGACATGTTATACTATGACGTTTTTCTAAATTTTGGTCGACATACTATATTATGACATTTTAACGTAACTTTTTTTGTGACAGACTATAAGGTCATTTGTCTAACTTTTATTTCTCACCGAGACATTGCTGTAACTTTTTATGACCTCTATGATTTTAATGTTTTTCATAATATACTACGACTTTTTACGACAGTCTTTACCATAACGTCTTGATGAGATACTTTTCTGAGAGTTTGTTGTGACTCACCTCTGAGAACTCAAACGCTGCTTTGTCCACAAACTCTTTCTCAGACCAAACTCTGGACCTCGGTCCAATCTCCCTGTCAGCCAATCAGAGCACAGAAACACTGTTTACCTGCTTCATGTGATGTGATGTCATGCGTCAACAGGTGAGATAGAGTACCTGCTCTCCAGAGCTCCGACCACGATGGCGATCAGGTAAGAAGGCATGGGCACCTGAGGACAAACGTCAGAGGTCTAATGGTGATTCAATAGTTTTAAACTCTGACATCAACAGCACCGTTTTTTCCCTGTTAAAGGGTTTTTTGGGGAGTTTTTCCTGATCAGCTGTGAGGGTCCTAAGGACAGAGGGATGTCGTATGCTGTAAAGCCCTGTGAGGCAAATTGTGATTTGTGATATTGGGCTTTATAAATAAAATTGATTGATTGATTGATTGATGTTATAGTGACATCATCATAGTTGTAGTTTTCATCACAGGTGCTTTGGTTCAGTCTGAATTTATATCACAGACAAAAAAAGTGAAACACTGAAGTCAGGATAAGTCAGAATCTGTGTGAACAGAGCAGAACAGACTGACAAGTGATGTAAATAAAGTGTAGAAGAAGAAGACACTAACCGGCTGTCTGAACCTGTAGACAATGCGGTTGTTGTCCTGAGGATCAACTTCCTGTCCGTCTCTCACTGCGCTCATCACAGCCACCAGGTCTTTGGGGACAGAAACCTGAGAGACCCAACACAGGGCACACTGAGACACAGCACACACCTGAGAGACAGAACACAGCTCTGTGTGTGTGTGTGTGTGTGTGTGTGTGTGTTACCTGAGCGTAGTAGGTGTGTTTGACAGATGGTGTGTCCTGACAGGGAACCATACTCCTGCAGTGATGAGCCTGGTAGACAACACGCAGGGAAAAATATGTAACTACTCTCATATAATTTATTATCATTATTGTTGTTATTATTATTATATAGGTTATCACGTTCTAACGTAAAACGTTTAACATTAAAAACAATATGAATGATGATGATATAACGTAATAAACGATTTCATGTTATGTGATAATATTTTGTTTTAACAATAAAAGTTTTTTGTTCTCAGATAAAAATATTTTGTTAAAATGTGAAAAACATTTTGTTCTAGCAGGAAGCGCTTCACGTTTTTTCCTGATGCTGATCAGTTTGTTTTTTTGTGGCGTGGCCTCAGCAGGCTTCTGTAGATTCAACAGTAATAAATTCTACCTGACATTAGACGGAGGGAGTTTGTTTCCCTGCACGCTGACTGACAGGCAGGTTAAAATAACTATAGCTCATCGGATGAAAACAGGAAGGAAACAACGGTTGGGAAAAAAAACTGTTCAGATAAAAGAGGAAGAAAATGTTCCTGCGTCTGTCGACACCTCTGACTGAAGAAATTTAACTTCTGGTAAAACTGTTACCAAACATTTACTGACACAACACTGCACTTGAACATCACACCTCAGAGTTTGTACCTGAACGCCACATCTCAGTCTGTAGAAGCGTCAGACTGTACCTGAACGCCTCGTCTCAGACTCACCTGACACTGGCTGAACAGGTATGGATGTTTTTTCCCAGCAGTCTGTGCAGGTGTGAGCCACTGCAGAGCTGTCGCAGATGGCGACGTCTCATAGGTCACCTCCACGATCACATGCTGCCCCCTAATTGGTCCACAACACAAACACATTAATGGTGTTTTATTTGGAAAAGACATGAGTGCGTAAGGACAGGAAGTACAGGTCACCTGGACAGGTCAAAGGGCAGTGTGATGTCCAGCGGCGTCCCCTTGAAGCTGTGTTTAGGGCCCAGAGTAAATGAGGCCGCCTGTCCGTTGGCGCTCACTGAGACGATCTGAAGGTCTCTGGTGTCCAAAGTCTGCATCCAATAAAAACACACCTTTATTAATGAGGTTAATGTCACACCTGCTGAGTCAGCGCTCACCTGTCACAAACATGGACTCACATGTCACACACCTGGACTCAGCCTACACACCTGGACTCACCTGTCACACACCTGGACTCACCTGTCGCATCTGGACTCAATCTGCACATCTGGATTCACCTGTCACACACCTGGACTCATCTGTTGCACACATGGACTCAGTCTACACACCTGGACTCACCTGTCTCACACCTAGACACACCTGTCACATACTTGGACTCAGTCTACATCCCTGGTCTGTCACAACTGGTCTGTCACACCTGCACTGTCACACCTGCACTGTCACACCTGGTGTGATACACCTGGTCTGTCACACCTGATCTGTCACACCTGATCTGACATAACTGGTCTGTCACACCTGAGGAACACCTGGACTGTCACACCTGGTGTGATACACCTGGACTGTCACACCTGATCTGTCACACCTGGTGTGATACACCTGGTGCGACACACCTGGACTGTCACACCTGATCTGACATAACTGATCTGTCACACCTGGTCTGTCACACCTGGTGTGATACACCTGGACTGTCACACCTGATCTGTCACACCTGGTCTGTCACACCTGATCTGACATAACTGATCTGTCACATCTGATCTGTCACACCTGGACTGTCACACCTGGTGTGATACACCTGGTGCGACACACCTGGACTGTCACACCTGATCTGACATAACTGATCTGTCACACCTGGTTCAGGTGAATACACGTGTTTATCTGACAGCCTTCACGTCAAAGTCCAAACAGCCTCAATAAAACACATCTGATTTCTCAGGTTGGTCAATGAACCAAAGCCATGTCAGAAATACAGATTTAAAGTTTCATTACTCATATAAACACAAGGACAAGCTGAAACATTCATGTTAATGAATATCCAAATGTTTACACGTAGACATGTTGATTAATTATAAGTTATTAAATAAAGTCTGAACTGTTACAGTGAGTTCAGTTTGTCTCTCAGGTGCATCAGACCAAACGATTTAAAGTTTCCCTTAATAAAAAGTATTGATAGACTTTGTGAGACCGCAGGAGATGAAGCGATGACCTGGATCATAAAGTCATATTATAATAATAACCCGTCAGGTGTTACAGTGACACTAACTCATTGATCCTTCAGACCAAACTCCATTTACATTTCTGTCACTTTTATGAAATGACCCCTTCAGGGACCGTAAACACGGTGTGACATCACACCACTCGGCTCGTTAGCAGAGCGGCTAACATGCAGCTGTACCGGAGCGGAGCACCGGGCTCCGTTAACGTTACCAGAGCAGAGAATCGGTCCTCCAGAGCCTCCACGGTGAGCGCCACCTTGGCCCGGATTACGTGCCTGTCGAAGTCCAGGTGCAGGGACAGGTTCAGGTGTTTGGTGACGCACCTGGTGACGGAGGAGAAGGAGCACGGGTCAGGAGACATGATGATGATGGTGGTGGTGATGATCACTGTCCAGTAACAACGGAGAGACTGAGCCGAACTGCTCACACACACCCGGCTATCTAACGGAACATGCTGTACTCACTTCCGGCACCGGCCCTTTCACAATAAGACTGGCGCTGCTGAATACATGCTTTTATTTTGACACCGTGTGTGTGTGTGTATATATGTGTATGTGTGTGTGTGTGTGTGTGTGTGTGTGTACACCGGCTACTATAAAATTCAACTTTACATCATGTCCGTTAAATCAATAAACTCCAAAAGGCCTCTGTAGGTGAATCTGTATTTCAAATGAGTCTCAGGGTCAAACCAGAGATATTGGATGAAGGGAGATACCCCACTGTAGGCTTATCCAATGTGAAGAAAACGGTTACTCTTCCTGTCTCCTAAGTGGGCGTGGTTAGCTCTCCCTCCAATCAGAGCCTGTTCTCTCTCAACCCCCC